TTACGTCGCCGGCTGTTACAACTCCAGCTTGGTGGTCCAGGACAAAGCGTAACGCACTTGTTATATTGTGTACTCAGGTAGGGGCTTGAACCGCCCTCCCAAGTGAGCCTACAAGAAACGCACCCGGCGCACGTGGCGGTAGGGATGAATTTCGTGAACACGCGAAGAGCAACCGCCCACAAAGCATTTGGATTTGCCCAAAACCCTGAGAATTAGGTTTAGGATTAAGGTGCTGGTTGAGGGTTTAAGGTTGCTGTTAAGTTCAAAGTTTTGGTTAGGGTCAGGATTACGTTGAGGGTTGAGGTTTGGGTTCTGGTTAACTGTATGGCTTAAGTTTCAGGTTGAGTTAGGTTTACGATTAAAGTTACAGATTAGTGGTTAAAGTAAGCCACAGGAAGATTTACCCTTCCTGAAATTTATCGCAAGGCCACATATTCTTGATGAAGTAGGGCGTTTCTGTTCCCGTTAAGGCGACCAAACCAAGGCACCCCTGTATTATTCAACGCTCCTCGGTACGACTATGTTTGCTCTTATCAACTCTGACGGAAAATCCAACAGGAATCTTAAGTATAGAAAAGATCTCGTTATTGATTTTATTGTCTGAGTGGGTTGCATCGACTAACTGCTGGACCATCAGTAGCTAGATCTAACTGTAAGTGATGATATGCTTTTGCTCCGGCCGAATCTTCAGTGGAATGCTTCATATTTTCGAGTCACGCGACTCCTGCCATCTTTCAATATGAGACCGCTCAAATGATGCAGATAAAGCTGGTAGGCAATAGCTCACGTTTATTCACATAGATAGGGGTCTTTGCCGAGTACTAATCTCACAAGGAGCCTGTGTGACAGTAACCGGAACTAGTCTTGCACTTTGCACTCACTTTGCTTTCTTGTATAACGTCCAAGTAGTGGTTGTGCTTAGGGCACTACTATCATCAGATCGAATCCCGGGTTCTCGGTAAAATTGATGAAGGTACCTGTGGGAGGGATTGCTTGTGCACGAAACTCCCAATTGCTGTCTCAGGCAGCTATGGCTACTTGCGAAGCCAAGACTAGTGTTAACTGCATGCAGTAGGGCTCGAGAGTGTGTGATAGAGATGACAGTAATAGCTGCCTTTACATGATCGTGGAACAAGTTCAATGGGGCGTGCGATTGGTGTGTTGCATTGCCCGAGGGGGTGTCCCCTATATAGGCCTTTGTTGCGTTGGCCGAAGGGTGACGTTTTCAAGTGGCCCGTTTGGCGGCCGTAACTTTCTGGACGCGCGCGTGGGCGCGCAGGGAAGTCGGTAAAGTGCCTTCAGGTCAGCGAGTAAGAATATGTTCCCTGCAGCGCAGCGTGACCTTGAGGCAGTGGACGTTGAAGAAGGAAATTAGACAGCGTTATTGGCTATCCATCAGATCTGAGGGAGTCATGTCGTGTCAAAACCTGCAATTAATTCCTGGTGACTCATAACTGGGAAATTAAGTGCGAGCAGACTTCGCGTGCAGCACTTTTTTATTTTGCTCAAGGTGATGTTCAGCAGGTGCCCAAATTCATTAAATGTCGAGATGGAAATTTCAGTGGATTGTATGGCCCACGGTTTGGGCTTTTGTTTTCGTTTGCTAAATCGATTTGAGGCACAGTAGGCTGCTTATTACGGGAGGGTTCATTTCACATCTGTTGTATGAAAGGAAATCAAGTCATATTTAGGCGAAATCTGACCTTTGTTAGTATCCAAGTAATGTGCTATGTTGGTAGGTTAACCTTAGGTGATTAACTTTTAATATGGCTACTATCTGAACATCGAGTTTTCAGTGAAAATAAACAAGTTTTATGAAAGTAATTATTAATTTAAAAACCAAATTACGTCGTTTCTTTATTGCTATTATGCGTTGGGGCGCAGCGTTGGCGGATTTTGCACAAAAGGGTACTATAACTTTGTACCTTGTTTCAGTACTCAGCACTTTCCATGTCTTATGCCTATGGCCTATAGGAAAACGGTCAACGAAGCTGAAAGGCTAAAGGCATTCTGTTGGAGTTGCATTAAGGCCTGCTTTCTACGGCGTGGAAAGTTTCCTAATGAAAATCCCCTGTGAAGTGTCCTCGACTCCTGCAGGAGCACATGCCTGAGTTCCAGCTGAGTGATTCCGTAGTTTATCTGCCCTTTCGTTAACTTACGTGCAAAAGGTCATTAATTTATTGATTCATGGCCAGTTTATAGGCTAGAAAAAGGAGATAAGCAGTGGAGGGTCGAACTGACAGTTAAAGAGTTCCTGCTAACTCTCTCTTTTGTTTTTTTTGCAGGAGAAGAACTTACAGCTCGTTAAACGATTATAGTTAAGGACGGGGAAGAGTTGACACAGATGCACTATATGGTCACTCTCCCTTCAGTGAGAGGTGTCCGGAATGTAGAAAACTAATGGTAGCTCTCTGAAATAGCGGATAGTTTTGCTGAATTTTGACACTTCTGCGTAGCTTATTTCAGATTGCTAGAGCATTTACTGAAAAAATAACTGGCGATATCTACACGTGTGTGTGCCAGAGAAAGAAGTAAAAAAACATTTCGGTGACTGCTGTGCCGAGGGTGATCAAACTGACTCAGAGAGGATTAAAGGTACGACTGTTTAAAATTGTAAACAATAAAAATAGTCTCTTTTGTAACCCGCGAAGCCACAACGGGTCAAGGTTAGTAGACTAACGACTTTTTTTGGTAAGACGGCTTCCATTTTTCTGGAGCGAAACACTTAATAAAGGAATGATGGACCGGTTCTTTTTTCTTCTTTTCACTAGCGCGCAGAAAGCTAAATAGAATCAAGCAGTATTCCAGACCAGGTCTAACGTACATTTTATAAAGGCTGGTTCTAACATTGATGGTTTTAAAATTTCTAAGAATAAATCCGGTGGTTCGATGTACTTTCGAGCCAATCAGGGCGCAGTACTCTGACAAATTTAGACTATTAGAATATAATATATCCATATTCTTAATAACTCAAGGTACATTTAGATCGTGACCATCTATGATCGTCACCCGCAAGCATAACGGAGCATTTGTGTGTCACTGGGCAAAGGTCTGCAGGTCTTTTTTTAGAGCTCGCTCACGATGTTCCGATCTGCCGATAGGTAACGTTTAAGCCGTCAGGGTTCATAAGGGACCAAACATACTGAAAGCAACCAGGAATATCCTTGGCAAAAGGGCAAAATACCTGGAAGGTGGTGGAGAATCTTCGGTTGGGAGGTGTCTATTGAATGTCTGGCGTTTCGACTAACGCTCTGCCTACTTCTGATATGCCTCCTAGAAATCAAATTTTTCCCCCCTCCATCCCATCATCACCACCTTTTTAATATCCAACTTGTTTTCCTTCCACGCCGTGGGCCTGGGGTCCGAAGTTCTTCTGGTCAGAAATCAAAACCCGCATCGACGAAAGAACTCGAGGCAGAACGCAACTCGAAATTTTTTACCCACCTTCATACTTTATGCTCTGTGAGAAAAGCTGCCAATTACTTGGAATTCATTTAATTCAGCAAGCTTTGGAAATCACTCCGAAACTTCACGTGGGTATAAAAACCATTGTTCAAAATGCGTAGGCCTCATTCGTTACGCTAATTGGATCTATGGACAAAAGCCTTATTGTCTTTGTGTGGCATTTAATTAACCTCTGAGGTGAATAGACCGTGGAAGACGAAAATACTTGGCAGAAAATGTTTCTGGTTAGAATGCAGAGTCTTTTGATCCAAGTAACTTATAAAAAGAATCGCTACTAAAGGCTCTAGTTTTGAGCTGCAATACCTAGCGGTGAGTTCCCACACCAGACTGTAACGAAATCACGGCTTGAGACGCTATTTCCGCTCGCCAGGGTATTAACCTTAAGAGCGACTATCAGGAACCGTCCAAAGATCCCAATATTTAGGATCTGAGGTCGAGGTATACCTAACCGGTAGCAGAAAATTGGTCAAAAGGACCGTCACAGTCCCTCTTTGTATTGCTGGCAGAAGTTCACGATTGTGGGCTGATAGTCCGCAGGCGCCGGTCTACTTTGGCTTTAGACTGCATTCCTAGGCGAAATGCAAGTGACTTATCCATTTTTGCGATTGCCTTAATGTCACTCTTACTTAATGCCCAGTCGGGAAAGCATAATTTTGCGCTGCGCATCTGAGCTATGACCAGCTGATGACAGTAAGTAGAGCAGCAGTCATAACTCTTCCTACTTTCTACTTGACGAGAATACTTATCGAATTTTTAAGGTGGGAGAGAAAGAGGGAGGGAGAGAAAGGAAGATAGGACATTGCTGGGTACTCTTCGCACCAGTTGCTTATTGGCCTGGACGATATTTCTCCAAGCTCAAACTACTTGACCTCAAAACATGTATGCTTTCTTTACGGGTAACAATGTACTTTATACCTGTAAACTTTGGCTAGACAGACCGCCAGAGGTGGATACATTAGAAAATCCAAAAAATATGGGATCTGCTTCCATCTAGGAAGCAAGTAAGTTACACATAAGTTGCCCCTTGCACTTACGCGGTTGGCAACTGAACTACACCAGTGAAGTCTGTGAATATGACCCTAGCATAGAAGAATGGTCAAAAAGACATCAGCTGGCCTTTTTCTTGCTCGGGCCACTGGGAGGTTACGTTGCCCTTTCGCTTTTGCTACCCTCCGCTTTTTTTGTTGCAAGACACACGCTTGCCAGTCGCCTTCACGCGGCTTGCTCGAGCTCCAGTCGCCTTTCGATGCCTCTCCCTCCAATTGGCTGTGTGCATCTCCATTTCTATTGGCTAATCCCCTCACAGCGCGACTGTGCAGCCTCTTCCGCCGTGGGCGCGCGCAGCTTATAAACCCAGCTGCTGATCCCGCGATCGGAACACTTAAATACACCTCATGCGGGTCTTGCAAAGGAAATAAGCGAGTGAACAGAAATGACATAACCGCCCAGAGGATGTTTTAGAGAAGACTGATTCTTTGTTGCTCTACACAAATAACCTCGACTGCAGCACACGCCCACACACACAACTCCGGATCATGGTACTATTGCACTCGTTCTACTCCGCCCATCTGCTCCTCTTGTTACTCAGCCCGCCGTATTGCGCAGGGTTCCTAGCTAGCTGGGGCTCCTCCTCGGGCGGCGGGGGTGGCGTCTCCTCCGCCAGTTTCATCCAGTGCCCCGAAATACCCCCCGACATGATCTTCTGTTCCTCCTCCCTCAGTTACCGCCATTCGGCGGGTCTGCGGGAATCCGTGCAGGCAGACAATGTCTGGATCGCTCTCCTCACCTCCCATTGTCACCCCCAGTTGATGAAGTTTGTCTGCTCCATATACAACCCGCTGTGTCTACAAAGCCACCAGATAATGCCCATCCAGCCCTGCAGAGAATTCTGTGAAGAGGTGCACTCAGAGTGTATCTCTCGCATGTCTATGTTTGGATTTAAGTGGCCAACGCACGTGAATTGTGCGCAGTTTCCGCGCGAGGAAGAAAGCATGTGCATCAGCTCTAAACGAGAAACAGGTAAGGCAGTGCTTATATCTGCTTGGTTTCTTAGCGTGGCTTTTGATTTACCGAGTTAAACCATTTCTATCTAACTGCTGCTACTATTAGGCTGTACTACTGGTTCGTTCCAAAAGTGCTATTTTCGGCTAGGTGTCCGACCGAGAAACATAATACAGTAGTCGCTGGTTATTAAGCCCACGGTTAACAGGCCCAGCCGCGTATTAAGCCAAAGTCAGCTTGGGACGGAATTTTG